TTTTAAAAAAAAAAAAAAGTGCCCCCGGGTTGCATTACGCTCGAGTATCTTATTGGACATTACATTTTGGATAAATAAATATTATTTTATATTATTTTATATTGCATTTAATATTTGGGCTAATAACACCTTGATCACATATATTATTATAAATTGAGTAATTAAGTTGTTAAGTACAAATACATATCTAATCTTGGGCGGATTATGAACGTTAATTATTTATTCGAGTTCTTTGAGGAAACAAAGAGTTATATTATTAATCAATACCTCGTTACTTTGGGCATTAGAATGAACTAATTAACGAACATAGTTTCATAACATGAAATCCTTCACTTATTTTTATATGAACATCATTAGTACCAATATTTCTTAATGGGCAATTTAATCTGAAATCCTTGGTCCATATCTTGCCAACACATATTTTATTAATCATTTTGTTATTCAATTTTGTACACGTAGTATTGCTCTTATAATAATGAAGTTCTTACACACTTTGAACAATTGAATTTTATTCAATTAACTAGTGTCCACGCGCCAAACAATTATAGAGAAAATGTGTAGTATTCTTAGAGTTGAACCATAAATAAATATACTTATTCTTCGTTCACTTGAATTAGAATTCCTATTAAAAATCAAGCACAAATTGTTTTTTTATTCAACAAATCTAGATTTTATTATCTTGTCGTAAGAAAAAAAACGAATTGAAAAAGAAAAATATCTTTTTTTTTTCTTTAATTGAATGTGGTCATTCATTTTGACTACTTAAGTATATTTTCTCATAGTAATTTCGACTCTAAATTCCCCGAGTTCATTCTCTGAGAAACTCTGTTTAAATTATTCCAGCGAATAGCGAAGAAGACTTGAAAATTCAAACGAGGATGCGTTGGTTACAAGTGATTTAAAGTATGCATCAAGGGTAATGTCTTAATAATATCTATGCTTTTAATTAGGATAAAATATATTGTTTAGAATTTCAGTCACTACCCATGAATAATCGATTTCGATTTTTTAGTATCCCATATTAATATATGATGGTGCTTTTTAGTTTTTATTTCAAATCCCAATGGCACGAACCATGGAAACTAGAACGATAATACATTTAGCCCATAAGCTCATTTTTGCTCGACTCGCTTTGGGATGAAACGGGCCGGTTCTGGCCGTTAACAACTTAACAGCTAGGCCGGGCAGGGCTTGCTGACTATACTACATTGACTACATCATAAATGCTTGGATTAATGAATCACCAAAGTAGTTGGTCTATTGATCTATATACACAGTGCTTTCTCACACGAAACATTTCAAAATAGAACAAATATATACTTACACGGTACGTAGAAGAGGAGAGGAGTGGCTATGGAGAGGAAAGGTGGCAGCATGGTGGCGATCCTGGTGGTGGTGATGGTGGCAAATTGTGTCTCTGGTCAGAGTATATATGCTTGCTGGGGAGGATGCTACAATCAGTGTTTTCTCAGCAGTGGAGGAGTTCAAGCAGAAAGGTTTCCATGTTATTATCTGTGTTTAAATTCCTGTGTTCCTCGTTCAGCTGCAGATTATCAGTACTATTGCCAGATTGGTTGTTCACTGCAACTCTGCATTCCTGCCAGTTATGGTACTCCTAAAACTCCCCCCTCTCTCTCTTTCGTCTCCCATGTTAAACTACGGCGTCCCAAAGTTCGTCTAAACCCTCGAGTTCTTAAAAGATTTTTGACAAGTCTCTTCATGTGTAGACTGAATGTTTGGCAGATGTTCAAGTTTCATAAATGGGATACGACATAATCCCGACCGTTGAATAGACCAATCATTTCTAAAAGCTTAAGCTATGAGAAGGGACACACATTTTTCTTCAAAGAACCGTCAAGTTAGGCTCATCATTTTAATCAAGAGTGACACGTGATTTACATGCACAATTTTCATAAATAAGTGACTACAAGAACTGATCTCGAGTCCTTTGTCTTTATATCACATTGAATAACCTCATCTAAAATGTTTAAGCATATAAATAAAGACATTTATTTGAATTTTATCTTCAATATAAGTGTTCAATTTGGCTGTTTTTCAGAGAAATAGCCTAATTGGTATCACAACTATATTGCAAATTTTCCTATTTCCTAAAAGTCTATACAAAGGAAATGTGAAAAGACTGCACAGTAAATTCTAAATTCTGGTGGTTGCACATTGATTAGGCTGGTTTCCCTCTGATTTCTAAAATGAACAGTAAAATAGTGAAATTAATGTGTTTTTCCTTGGCAGATGGTGCAGCAATGGAAGAATGCTTTGGCAGGTGCTCAAACCTCTGCAACGTTTAGAATTTTGCAGCTATGATACACAAGATGTTCGACTAAAAATATTCTTGTTATTGCTTTGACATATATTCAAGTGGATCCAGCTCCACTTTGTTTACTTTCACATCCTTTGTAAAAATAAATGATTTATGCAGCATGCAAATGAAAAATTCCTGTATTTTCTCCTATTTTTCAGGTGTCAAACTTGTTTATATACCTTGTTATGCTTTTAAAAGCAAAAGAAACATAATTGGACCACTTCTTATTCTTCTGGTAATGCATAAATACAGCGTGACATAATACCTAAGTTATGTACTGAAGAAAAAGAGATAAACAAAGAGCAACAAAGCAAGGAAGAACAGAAGTGCCTAACTTATTTAAATACAAAGAAAATCATACAATATTGATAACAAGGAAGAATAAAAAGTAAAAAAATCTCATCTATTATATTGTCCTCTACTATTCCCTAGTGTCCTAAATGTGCACCTAAAGAGTGTTTGGCACGCGCAACTTGACTCAACACTATTGTCAACAAGATTTTAGCTTATTTTTCTTCCTTAATTAATATTGACGAGGTAATGTTGTGTCCAACTTTAAGGGTGTCTATGATACCAAACTATGGAACGAGACTGGGCACCACCCAATCTTCTTACTCTAAGAATCAAATGCACAACAATCCCACAAATAAATCCAAGTTCTGCACTTGAGCCAACAAGTGAAACTTACTGTGCAAATAAGCATAACGAAGGATTCTTCCTTAGAATTCATGTGCCTCGAACACAATTCAAACTCACTCCAGAAAGCAACAGAAGAACCCATAATACCCCAACTGGAAATTGATCCAAAATCTTCTCCAAAGAACTGCCTAAAACCAATCTCAAAACCAATTTAGCTACTGAGCTACTCCAAGAAGTGCCATACACTCTCCACTCCTCCCACCAAATTTGTACTGCCCGGCTAGCCCTCCGTTGCCATGGCAGCATGGCATTGCTCCAAACCAGCACCTGATCAAGTCCATTAGCCCGACATTATCGACATGGAAGTTTCTCTTCCTTCCATGAATGTTTAGATATCTTCACAATCGATATCAGATGGCCATAATTTGAACCCTTTAACAGC